GATAAATAATAAATAAATTCACATATACATGCATATACATATGTATGAAAGCAATCAATTTAAAAATAGGTAAAGATTTAGATAGACAATTCATAAGAAAAAATTTAAGGAGTTAATAGGGGCCAGAGAGATAGTACAGCAAGTTAAGGTACCTGTCTTGCATGTGGCAATCCAAATCCGATTCCTGACACCGTATCTGATTCCTGGTTCCCTGAGCCTCACCAAGAATGATCTCTGAGCAAAGAGCCAGGAGTAAGCCTTGAGCACCACCAGGTATGACTCAAAAATCAAATTTAAAAGCTATTCGATAACTACCTAAATAGATGATGATATGTTTGACCTCACGGAATATAACAACTAAAATAAGATTGTATTGCATTGATAGAACAATTGAAACTGAAAGTGAAATTTTTGCCAACATTGTGATAAACAATGTAAAAGTTTAAGAATATTGATTGTTGAGGCTTCTGGGAAATAGACACTATCATGAAATGTTGACCAGAGTATAAATCTGTAAAGTCTTTGGGAGTTAATTTTGGCATTGTTTATTAAAAATTTAAATATGTATTGCCCAAGGCCCAGCATTCTCTTTCCAGGAATCTTACCAACAGAAATACTTGGAAATGTGTAATGGCTGTTCAGTAAAACACTGGTTGTGCTGATGAAAAATCAGACATGTCCTAAATCTTTGTCACTGGGGGAAGGGCAGGATTCAATATGGTATTGTTTTGCTATGTGATATTAATTACCCAAAAAATGCATATAATAACAATAATTAAAAAGCAGTAGGTATTGTTTGTTATTTGTTAGTGCTTTGTTATATGGATCATCATTGCATGTCAAAAAGGATAAGAATCTGAAGGAACCAAATTGTTAATAATGATTATTTCTGGGGGTGTGGAACAGTAGAATTGGGGATATAGGGTGTGAAAGACAGGCTTTCACATTTAGTTTTCACATTGTTTGGTTCTTTCCTGACCATGAATCTTTAGTTATTATATAAGGCACAACATTTTCTTTCTATGGTATGAAGGAAGTTAGATTTTCAAATTTTACTTGCATGAAAGTGATGGAAAGATTTATAGCAAAGTATTAAGCCTAGGCAGAGATCTGTATGTGGTTTTTATTTTCTTCTGTAAACCCTTTCAAGTAACGTTCCATGTTTTCTCTCATTGAATCATACTGTTTTTGCAATAGAAAACAACCAACATATGGAAATCAGAGAAAGTACCAAGAGCCAACATTCCTAGGCCACTTGCTCTGTGCCAGCAATCACTTCTAAGTGTGTCCATGCAGTCAGCCTCCATGTGCAGTATTGGGATGAGAAGACACCCACCCAACCATAGGGCTCTCTTTCTGGAAAAAGCAATATCATCTCACACTAAAGAACGCTGCAAGAGGGAAAACTCAATGGTTCGTGGTCAAGGGCAGGAGTGGGGTGGGGTAAGAAAAAATTCCAAGTTCCCCTCTCCCATGGATAGCTTGAGAAGCCTGCAAGAAGGAGCAGAGCAAAGTGAGCATGTTATTAAAGTGGGACAATAGGGCCAGTAGGGAAAAGGTAATTCGCTCCAAAAAACACCTCTGAAAATTTCTATTTAATATTCTAATCCAAACATATCCAAGCACAGAACTTTTCATTTGCTGTTTGCTTCTGTTCTTAATTTCCACATAATTAACAGTGAGGTGGAAATTGAGGGCGACAAGGCACGTGAGGATGAGCAAGGCAAAAGGCTTAGGGAAAGGGGCCCAGGGCTGGGGGAAAGGGGGCAGGCTGTCCCCTGCCCTGATCAGGAAGGACAGCAAGCCAAGCCTCCATATGCTCTCCGCCAGACTGGAGCAGACACACTCCAACCCAAACAAGCTAGTTTGCTTTCAGATCTTCGCTTGGAGTTACCTTTCTTTAATCTCTTGGCTGAGTCCTTCAGCAGCCTACGTGGAATGTCCTAGAAGGTATAGTTATGGGCTGCCTAAGGCTTTGAAACTTCCTGTCTGAAAACTGTGGCCCTGCACCAAGGCCAGGTAAGTAGGAAGAAAAGGAGACTCTGAGACGAGGCAGCCATGGTGGGAGAGATGTGGCTCGAGGATGTAAGAATCACTTACCTCACTTACTGGTGAGAAACTGGAGGCTGGGAGTGCAGGGGAAAAAGAAAAAGAAGAGTAGAGGTGAGTGATCCAGTGGAAAGGGGAAGGAACAGGAAGTGGAAGAGGAAAATAAGAAGGGTGCCTCTGAGGAGAGAGTGGGAAGTTAGGGAATGGAAGAGGAGACAGGAAAAGAGAAGAAAGAAGAAAAGGGATATTCATTTCCAGTGAAGACTTACGAATGACCTGAGTTTTTGATGAAGAGCCCCAAACAAACAGTCTAGAGGGAACCAGCTTTACTCACTGGAAGTGGATCCACATTAGTAATGAGCTAAATTGCCCTTTGATCTGACTTTTGTGCCTGGCATTAGAGGTCAGAGTTCATTTTTTTTGCAGGTAGCTGTCCAGTTCTTCCAGCAACGCTTGTTGAAGAGGCTTTTGTCTTGCTCCTTTGTCAAAGATTAAGTGATCATATATTTGAGAGTCTGTAACAGAATATTCAACTCTATTCCATTGGTCTGCATGCCTGTTTCTAGCTCAATGCCATATTGTTTTAATTATTGCTGCTTTTTTGTACAGTTTGAAGCCGGGGAAGGTGATGCCACCCATCTTTCTTTTTCCCAAGAATTGCTTTAGCTATTCATGGGGGTTTGATTGTTTCATATGAATTTCAGGAGTTTTCCTTGAAAAATGTCATGGGTATCCTGATAGGCGCTGTATAGTGCTTTGGGAGAGTATCGTGCTAAGTGAAATGAGTCAGAAAGAGAGGGACAGACATAGGACTGTACCTGGAATATAAAATAACATGAAACTGACACCCAAGGAGTAGACACAAGGGCCAGGAATATTGCCCCATACCTCGAAGCCTGTTTCATGAGCTGGGGGAGAAGGCAGCTGGAATAGAGAAGGTATCACTAAAACAATGATGGTTGGAGGAATTATTCGGGATGGGAGATGTTGCTGAAAGTACATAAAGGACCAAACGTGATAGCCTCTCAGTATCTGTATTGCAAACCGTAATGCCCAAAAGTAGAGAGTATGGGGGAAATTGTCTGCCATGGAGGCAGGGGGAGGGTTGGAAAGGGGAGGGCATACTGGGGACATTGGTGGTGGAAAATGTGCACTGGTGGAGGGATGGGTATTTGATCATTTTATGATTAAAACTCAAACATGAAAGTTTTGTAACTATATCTCACGGTGATTCAATTAAAAAACATTAAAAAATAAAAAAATTAAAAATTAAAAAAATAGAATCACCCCTACTTGAATGGGGTGTATTTTCATCTATTCTAACAGGTAGTGAATCATTCCTGCACAGAGACTTGATGGTACTGGTATGGCTCCAGAATATACCGGGCATAAAAAGGAAAAAGACATATACAAGATCTAATGTTTTAGAGCCAAGTGATATGTAGAGTGGATTCCCTCTCCAGCCTCTGGTCATCTAATCTATTTTTCTGTTTTCTGAGCCAAAATACATACTTACACTGAGAGTCATTTGTTTTCTTGAATTAATTTGCTAAAGGAGAAAAAGCGCATAACAGTGATAATATATCCTTCTGTGCTTAAGAACATTACTGTAAGCCAACTCCAGACAAAATGGGGCTGCTTAAAGACTCTACATAAATTATTAACTTTAAGAATTCCCTTATTCATATCAGGTTCTGAAAATATCTCTTCATAACTTAGGTTTATCCCTTCAAGAAAGTAATCAAAAATCACTAATTGGGACTGGGGTAGGGATGGTGGTGACTTGGGATAGAGCATCCACCTTGCAGGTAGAAAGCCATGACTGCATCCCAGCACCATACCAGATTCTGAGGGAGATCCTAAATGCCTCAACCATGTCTGAAATATCTGGCACATAATCACCAAGTGAGCAGGAACTAAAGCAGGTGAGTGAGTGCAAATCCCATGGCTCAGAATGTCTTCCGCAGTGAAGTCTACAATCAACCATGACTACTCCAGGCCACTGCAGTGATAACAAAGGGAAAGGAAGGGAGGAAAAACAACTTCCATGCTATGTTCCATGTATACAAGAAAATCAGCTTCTTTTTCATACTTGGCATCATCAGCTTGACTTGGTTATCCTCTTCAGCTTGTGCCAGTCCAAACTCAAGTTTAGAGCAAACAAGTAAAAATACAATTTTAGTGCACAAAAATGATTCTCTTTTTGTCCACAAAAGCAATAGCAATTCTTATTAAAATAATGACTAGGGTTGTTCATGAGAGGAACAACTGTGACTTCAGAGGTATATAAATAAATAAATAAATAACCTTTAAATACAGTGCATGGGAGCTAAGGTGTTCCAGGAGTATCTCCCTTCCTCCCTCCTTCCCTCCCCTTCTCTTCTCTCTTCTCTCTCTCTCTCTCTCTCTCTCTCTCTCTCTCTCTCTCTCTCTCTCTCTCTCTCTCTCTCTCTCTCTTTCCTTTCCCATGTTCAGCTGAGTTTCTCAGTGAGCTTTTGCCTGAGTCTTAGATCAGCTCTCTGGGCAATGGACCTGAAGCAGCCACCAGCCCTCCTTGCTCAGACACCGGAAACTCACATTTGAATCAAAGCCTTGAGTGCTCATCACAGCTGCACAGATCTGAGCCAGAAGCCCAGCATATAGCCAGCCCCATCTTTCCATCTTGAAAGGGGGCTGCTCAGGGGATGGGGCGGGTGGCGGGCGGCAGCACAGAGCCAGGTATCTGCTCCTTTCTCTTCTCGCTTCCGTGTCCCCAAGACATCCTTAGGCCCCACATCTTAAGCCCCCATTCCACAGGGATGGAATACAGCCCTAGTCTTTAGGGCTGAGAAGATGTGTTTGAGCCCTGCAGGGCAACCCATGGCATCTTGCTTGACTCCCTGGAGAGAAGCACACTGGCCAGACAATCCCCGTCACCAGCAGCGACCTCTCTAGAGTCTTCATGCCCTTACCTCTCATTTCTGTCCCGGAGGAACCATTAGACCAGGCTGTCCACTTATTCCTGTGCTTGCTGATTTCCTGAACTTTGCAGGCATAGTGGCCTTGGTCAGCAGGCCTGAGGGTCAGAATGGAAAGCATGTAGACAGCCCCACGCCTCTTTTCTAGCAGGTGCAACCTCTGCCGGTTGGCACTGCGGCTGTAGTTCCCATAGTACTGTACCAGCCGGAGCTTGGTCATCTTCACCATCAGGGTCTCCGGGGAGTTGGGGCGAGAGAAGAACCAACGCACGGCCAGCAAGCTGTCCTTCCGCCTCTTCTGGGAGACGTGGCACAAGAGCGTGGCATTCTCCCCCTCCAGGTAGTCAACCACAGGTCCTGGGGACACGGTGACATTCAGGGCACCACACACCTCTGCAGAAGAAACAAGGAATAAAGTGAGGATGCCACCTTCCAGAGCCACTTCCTCTCCCAGGAAGGCACTTTTCCCTAGGAGCGGGATGCTCTATAGGGGCAGAGAGATGGGATGGTCCCCATGGTCCCCATTGCTCTACCCCAACCAGCTCAGTCTCTGCCTTCCAGAAGGAGCCCTCAGAGCTGGGGGCTCCTATGTCCTCGTCAATGAGATTATGCTAACCACACAGGATGTACAGGGACCCCCGGTCTAGACCTTTTATTTATTTTTTAAGTGTTTATTAGTTGTCGACATTTAAATTGAAGGATATTTCACAGGATTCAGGGGACCTCTTAAAAATACCTTGCTCTCATCCCAGCCTACCACCAGTTTCCCTGGGGCTGTTAATCCCATCCCTAGCTATATTACGGGTGTGTGGGTCCTGGGTCAGGAAGGGCTGCCCCAGTTGATGCCTGTCTACTGAAAGGCCTGCACCTGCCTTACTAGGCTCCTGTTGCAGCTACTACAACTATAACCCAGGGAAATCACTGTGCTGCTCACAAGGGCCTGAAACTAGCCCCAGGGCCCTTAGGCACAGGGCATTCTCAGTTCATGCTCCATACATCCCTGAGGACCATGATCCATACTCTCTGCACTGAAGTAAGGAATAAAGAAGGACTAAGCCCAGCAGCAAAGAGGAGTGAGGAAATCTCCCAGCACCCCAAAAGATACCCCAGAATCCCAAATTCTGTACGCTACTTCCTGTCCCCTAGGTTTTTTAACTGATGCTGCCAAGCACTGCCATTTTGAACAGCATTGTCCTGAAACTCCCAGGCAGGCAGACTACAGAGTGAACACTTTGCACAGATGCCCAGACTTTCATTCCATCCCATAGAGCTGTCTCGCCAGGTCCCATAGCCTCACCCCACAACACTGAGCCCAAGTGCAGAAAACTCAGACCCCCACACACCCTATCTCACAAGTCGAGGTCCCCAGCATCTTGCTGATCTACACTGTAGTCCTCTAATGCCACCTCTGTTCACTAAATATGACAGAAAAGAGACTATCTGAACCCTGATTGGGACCTGGGAAGCAAGGAAAAATGGAAAAGGGATCAAGAAAGATCTGAACAAAAGCTGTGAACCAACAAGGTCAGGCCCTGGTAGAAATGGGTTGCCACACAAAACAGTCTTTGCCAAAAATGTTCAGACAATAAGCTTATTTTTCTTGCCAGTTTCTACCAATAACTTCAGAAACTAAGCAGGCTAAAAGGTAGGACATGTGAATCAATCTTTCATTTCCAGTCCCCCCACTTCTCCATTGCCCCCGCCACCACAGTCTGTTAGAAGCCAGGTCCACCAAGAAACACAGAAATCCCAGGACCCTTAATCACATCCACAAAGTACCTTCTGCCTTAGAAAGTAAGCTAGAATGGTTGTAGGGCTAAGAATCTTTAGGGTGAGGGCGGGGGTTGGGGGAGTGTTTAGCTTATCCCACCATAACAATCTTTTATTACCTTGAAAAACAATAGGGGGAAAGCGTTGGATGGGATTTTAGGCAGTTCATGAGCCAAAATGAGGTTTCTTAGAGCTGGTTAAGGCATTATTCAACCCTAGTTTCATTTCTGGTATCCCATATCAGGAGTGACCCCTGAGCACGGAGCCAGGAGTAAGCCCTCAACACCACAGGGTGTGGCCCAAAAACAAATAAACAACAACAAACAAACCTCCAAGCTACTGTGACAAAGGACAAAGATAGCCAAGGGTGGTACTCAGGGAATTCAGGTAACCAAAGCAGGCAGATACTCCAGTAACAATTTCACCAGCATCCAAGTTACTGACAGCAAATGAAAGCATAGGAATGCTGCCTTCATCTCCCCATTATCTCGCCTGCCCTGAGGGCACCTTGCCAATACTAACGCCATACTGAATTAGCCTGAGATCATTTCCTCCAGGTTGCTAATGCCCTGTCTACAGACCTCACCAGCTCCTGGGACAAGAGTTCCCCCAGGGAACAGAGATGCAGCAGAAACACCAGGGTGACCCCATTCCAACAGATGCCCAGGGTTCCACTGGCCAAAGAGCAGCAGAGAAGCAGCAGCTGGCTCCCTGAGTTGAAGTCCAGCTCCACCCTGCCCCCAATTGCTCCCCACTAGAGTCAACAAGACCTGGGAAAGCAGGAAATTGAAACAATATGGGTGGGATGAGAGCTCAGCGGCCCCGGGACCCCACACCCCACTCTCCTATTAGCACTGCATGAGGGAGGGATTATTTATAGTGACTGAAACCCAGAGACGTGCCAAGTGCTCCAGTCGCCCTGTGAGGCCAGATTCCATCCTGGAGGCAAACTAGTAACCCTTCCACTTCCGCATCTGAGGATAGGAATCAGCAGCTCTCAAGAAAGGGAATGAAACCATTTCCCAAAGGAGAGGCCTCCCCCATTTTCTTCCAACCAGCAGACCTTCTGCCTCTACTGAGCCCATCTTCTCTTACACCAATGGCCCAAGCATTTGTTTCTCCCACAAAGACTTGTTATGAGCTGGTGGGTGTCTCCCTCCAGTCCCTACATGGAAGCCCCAGTTCTTGTGTGTGGCTGTATGTGGAAATGGATGCTTTAAGGTGAGATTGGAAGAGTGAAGACACCAAGGTGGGAGCCCTTCCAGCACTGGCTGGTATTCTCCTTAGAAGAGCGTTGAGGGGCCAGAGAAATAGGACAGTGGCAGGTGCTTGCCTTGCACATGGCTCACCTGGGTTTGATCCCTTGCATCCCATATGGTCTCCCGAGGCTGCCGGGAGTGATCCCTGAGAGCCAGAAGTAAGTTCTAAGCACCACAAGCTGTGTTCCAAAATCAAGGACACAAACATGCAGAGACAAGAGAAGAGAAGACACAGAGAAGGTGGCCCGCTGCAAACCACAGAGACAGGCCTCGGGAGAAAACACCCAGTACCTCTCAGACTGGCTTCCTGGTGTGAGGAAAAACAAAAGTCCTGTGAAGAAAGCCAATGTAATGTTTCTTAACCTCTTTCCACCGGGCTTCCCCCCTGTGGCTCCCATCCTACAGGTTTCATGCTGGAGGCCCCATTTTAGGCAATTTTTGCCTGTGGCCCCTTTGGAATATCCTGAGAGCCCACAGAGGGGCCACATGGCCCTCAACTGAGAAATTATGGTTTACGATCTCACTCTGGGGCATCTTCACATAGCAGTACCAAGAAAACAACATATGCCAGCTCCCAGAAAGCTCTTCCAGTGCTACGGTGTCACCAGCCCAGAAATTACACCCACCCACTTTCAACATGAACTTATTGACAGGGGCTCAGGGGTACGATTGACATTGGGATACTCCAGGGCACCTCAGAGTCCTAAAGCTTTGTTAGAGCAATGTATCTCAATAGGGGACCTTAGGGCACAATGGATGGGTGGGTAGGGGAGCTGTATAAGTCTGTGTAAATGGAGGGTCATGGTATGAGATAAGAAGGTCATGTTATGAGAGTAAGGCATCAGTGAGTAGGACAGTGGGCTGGGGGTGTAGGAGCCGGGAATAGGGTAGGGAGTAAGTACAGAAGAAGGAAACAAGGCCAGAAGGGGCCACAGCAAGGGAGAGGTTGAAAACAGTGTTAGAAAACAGAGTCTCTCAGGATATGGGGGTTATGCGTGTGCTGAGCTTTCCCAAAATTTCAGGTGTTCAACAAAGACCTGCCAACACTAAAGAGGGCTGCTCAGATCCAGCCAAGCCCCCGCTCTATGCATGCAGCTGGAAAATGTGACACCACCAACAGAAGGGGATAAAAGGCAGGGGAGAACCCAGTGCCCAGCACCCAGAAGCAAATCTCATGTTAGACATGGAAAGAGAGGGTCACCCACTTTGGCTACCCATCCCTCATATCACAGCACACCCAGAATCAGCAGAGAGAGAGAGGACACCGGACACCACCAGCACACAGATGCAGCTGACTAGCCCACGGTGTCAATCATGTCCAGGTCTTACCCCTTCTGGCTCTCAGTCTCAGGAGAAAGCACACACCTCCTTTAGGGTAGGGGGCAAGCCAAGCAAACCTAGTCCAAGCAGAGGGCATAGGGTGCTAGCCCGTCTCCATCCACTGAGCATGGCAAGGGAACAGCCCCTTACAGCAGATGTGCCTCTTCCCTGGCCTAGGAAAGAGAAGAAGTTCACTGCTTATTTTCCACTCCACTATTGCAAAGAATGGATGTGGGAGGCAAACTCCATCCCACACACTCACTGGGGCATCTCCATACTCAGAGTTCCACTTCCCACTAGATTAAGCCTTAACCAAAGTTTTGTTCACTTCGTCCTTATACAGATATTGGCAGAACAATGGGGAGAGCGGGATACTGTGACTGAGCAGACATTTCTAACGTGAGGGCTAAGAGTCCTGGGAATAAGGCAGCTAGTCACAGGGGGAAGATCCAGAAGTCTGTGAGTACATGCAATGCCACGTGCCATACTGAGGTGGCCAGGGCTTAGGAAAACTAAAACCTGGGCCTGAAAGACATAACAAGGCCCTTCCGGTCCTAGCCTTGTACACAGCTGACTCTGGTTTGAACTCCAGAGCCTCATAATGACCCTCTGAACATATACACCCATCCTGCCCCTCATCAACAAAAAAATAATGAAAAAAGAAAGAACAAGGAAATCAAGTCCTAATCTGTTCTTCGGGGTCCAAGAAAACCCTGAGGCAGGAGGTATAGACTGGCAATAGAAAGATCAGTGTCTTTGGAGGGGGGAGTGCAGGTCACCCTGTCCAGGCAGTCCGTGCTGGTCCAGCATACTTGGATGTAGGAAGAGAACCTCCCCCCCACAACTGGGCCCTTTAACAAGCACAGGCCCCATCCTTTCCTGTGGGACGGACATCGGCAGGGCATGGGACACATGGGACCCATGGTGGAACTGGGCCAACAGCAAGGGGTTGGCATCCTGAAAAAGCAGACTGGAAATCTGTTAGTTCTAAGACCTTCACTGACTCTGTGTTTTCATCTGTCTGAAAAAGGGGAAAATAATGCC